TCCTCATACTCATTATCCTGGAGTACCACCTATTTTTTTGCAGCTGGGACCCAACCCTCCAGCCAGCTGCTTTTAATGCACCCCGCCCTGCCGGGATCTTCACCCTCTCCACCAGCCCTGAAGCAGATGCCCCACAAACTTAGCAGTACGTATTCCAGTGCACAAGGCACACGTGTAAATAATTAAGCCACCCTTGTTAGGAAAATCATCCTTATTCCTAGTCTAGACAAAACCCCGGTGCGTCTGGTCGTCCCAGCTTTTCAGACTAGAAGCTCCCCTGAGCCAGCGCTGACTCCTTTGTGCTGTTTGTACGATGACAAACACAATTACTAGGAGCACAACTAAGTGCTACTCCGACTCCGATATCCAGAGGAGGGAGCAGTGGGTGTTTTGGCACGGGTATCTCGGCTGGGGAGATGTATCTGGGGCTGGTCCTGCTTTGAGCAGGGGCTGGACTAGACGCTTTTCCAACATCCGTTTAAGAAGAGCGAACGTCAGGGAAACATTCATTGGATTGAAATGTGGCCACACTTGATCGTCATCACTAGCTCAATTATATTTGCATGACACCGTTTCAGAGTATAAAATGCCCTTTGATTTTAGTAGAGGGTGGGTTGCATATGATGCACTGGAAAATCCAGTCGTGCCCAGCTTGGAAACTGCTGCTGGGCGTCTCCCCCCGAGGAGCCACAGCTACATGCGTGTAGCCCCACACGGCTTCTTTGCAACCGCCCTGCCTGTCTCTCTTGGGGTCCTGCCACATACCCTCTCCCAGGACACCCATGCAAAGACGACAGCACCCACAGGCGCTCTTTGCAGCTCTGTCCTTGCTGAGCCCAATCCCCCACCCCGTGCACAATGGCAAGGTCTTTGGCTGGGTTACTATTATCCACATGGGGAAACTGAGGCACAGAGCGCAGTCGCACATCACATCAGCACAGATTCGCAAGGACTGCAGCCTTTCTCCCTGGACAGCCCTGATATGGCTCATGGTCCACCCATCTGCCTGTCTAGGTAGCATCCAGCACGGCAGCATCTTAGTGCTGAGCCTTTGTTAACTAAGTGATCATCCCAACCTCTCTCACAGGTGTGGCCATACTGGCTCCACAGATGGGGAGCAGAGGCAGGGTGGAGTTAAGTGACTTGACCTAGGCTATGTGAGGGAGTCAGTGGCACGTGCCAGGACTCCAACTCCCTTTCTACCGCCTTGTAACGCCAAACAGCTCCATGCACCGCATCTCAGCCTCTGCCCGACACCAGACCTTGCAATTTGGATGGCTTTGGCATGGACACGTCCCTCAGGCCAGTGGGGTTCAGTTCGGGATCATCCACAGACCCCCACAGGCTGAACTGTTTTGTCTCCCTGACCCTTTGCCCCTGCCTGGAAAACAGGGAGGTTCATCTTCTCCTTGCCCATTTACTTCCTACTGTGTACAGCACCTAGCACGCTGGGCTCCAACCTCCGACCGGTCCCTTCCAGTCTCAGAGGCAAGTTCTAGTCCTACTATCTTATTCCTTGCTGGCAATAGGGGTTATAAATGAAGCTAGTCTGCATCGGTGCAATGGTGCCTCATGCCCAGATGTTACGACGTTGCCCGGGGAAGTCTACCAGGCCCAGGAGCTGGGACTCCTGACTTCCCCTCCCAAGCCCGGGAGGGTAGCGTGGTTTAGCAGTGCCAGCACAGGAGGCGGTAGGGAAGCAGGGCAGCTGTGCTGCCTTCTGGGCTCTGTCACCGACTCACCCTGCAACCTTGGCCAAGTCCATTGACCTCTCGGCATCTTGTTTGGCTCAGGACCTGGCATCAACAATGTTCCTTTACTCGGAGAGCCTTGTTCCTGAAGTCCAATACGACCAATTGCCTAATTGGCCGATAACTGCATGGTCCCCATCAACGGCGCCTGTTCTTTGACAGCAAACTCTTTAAGGCAGCTCATAAAATCCATTTCCAGGGCCGGCGGCTGGCGGTAATTGCCAGCTCGCTCGGATCACACGGTTGTAGCTCAGCCTGCCAAGGGCCGGAAGCTGAGATCAGAACAAGGGAAGCTGGCTGCGATCCCATGCGACAGCTGGGGACGGCTCCAGGGTGATGCAGAGCTGGGGGAGTCAGTGGGGCTTACCTTCATGCGGACCGGAGGATGGATGCAACTCTTAGCCATCAAACTAGCGGAGTAGGAAACGGGCATCGGATGTTCTCATGGGACCATTGCCACTGCGTGCCCCCGTGGCCATCCCGGGGAGCTAAAATCACTGCAGCTTTCACCCTTTACAAAGCAGGGTTAAGATGGCAACGGTCTTGCTACTTATATTGCTATGGGGACATGCAGTCGCTTAGAGGGGACATGGTTTGATGCCAATACAGTTGGTACATTTATCTATTTTCTTCATAAACTTATTATGAACGATCACGTTCATCTTCTCATCCATCATATATAAATGTATTAAGCCTTCTCTTATCCTGGAGCTCAGCTACACCCACAATGCATTTCACCCTACTCTAAGTGAAGCTGGAGATTGTATTCCTAAAACCTGTGATTTTCAGCTTGGGTGCGGTGGCAAGTGCTGCAAGATCCTCTTAAGGGTGCCGCATGCTATTCGCACTGTCAGGTGTGCAAATGCCTAGACGTGATTCACAAGGTCAAGAAATAGGGATCCACCGTGTCCAAGCCCTCCTGCCCTGCTGTGGGCTTATAAAATCCTAGACAATGAGGGTTGAAGGGAGCTAAGGAGGTCACATCTAGTACAACCCCCTGCTCCAAGCAGGACCAGCCCCAACTACATCATCCCAGCTGAGCTCTCAGGTCGCTGAGTTTGCAACAGAAGAATTTATCTGGGGTTTTTCCATACTCAAAAAAAGGGAGTGAATGCTTAGAGCTAGCATTTTCTGAGTGGCGGCTTCAGAAGTTGGTGCGATGCTCAAGAAATGCCACTGCTGATTTTCTAACCAAGGGCATCGCCTCGGGGACGAACTAGCACAAAGTGAAATCACTCATTTACTATGTATGTAACCCTGGGGTTAGAGCAAAGATAAATCATTCCCAGATAAACCCATCTGGGGAAAGCCCAGGACCTTACAGACGACAGAAGGTTAGGACTTAGTCATTTCACGATGTAATTGTTTTCAAATATTAAATAAAATTGCTACACCTTACAAGAAATGCACATCATACACACTTTTAATCATTTGCTTAACATCTCGGCTCTGTGCTGTTTAATCAGTCATAGCAAGTTTAATATTAACATATGGAGAAGCTATTAAAAAGGTATGTCTTCTTATGTTGCATTTAATTTGACTAGAACTGGCTCTTTGAACTGTTCTTGGTTCTCAACATCTACCTGAAGGTCAGCAAACTCCCCCTGGTCTGCTGACCCCTCCAAGGATGAAGACTGCACCACCTCTCTGGGGAGCCTGTCCCAGTGCTTCACCACCCTCCTCATGGGAAAGTTTTTCCTAATATCCAACCTCAGCTTCCCTTGCTGCAACTTGAACCCACTGCTCCTTGTTCATCATCTGCCCCCACTGAGAACAGCCCAGCTCCATCCTCTTTGCAGCCCCCCTGCAGGGAGGTGAAGGCTGCTATTCAATCCCCCTCGGGCTTCTCTTCTGCAGACTCAATCAGCCCAGTTCCCTCAGCCTCTCCTCACCAGTCCTGTCCCCCAGCCACACAACCAGTTTCGTTGCCCTCCACTGGATCCTCTCCAATGTGTCCACATCCTTTCTGTAATGGGGGGCCACAACTGGATGCAGGACTCCAGCTGTGGCCCCCCCAGTGCTGAATAGAGGGGAAGAATCACGTCCCTTGATCTGCTGGCACCGCTCCTCCCAATGCAGCTCAGGATGCTGGTAGCCTTCCTGGCACCAAGGACACACTGCTGGCTCCTGTTCAGCTTCTTGTCCACTCTCACCCCCAGGTCCTTTTGTGCAGAGCAGCTGCCCAGCCCGTCACCCCCAGCCTGCACCGGTGCAGGGAATTGCTCCCTAAGTGCAGGACTTTGCACGTGTCCTTGTTGATCCTCAGGAGATTTCTTTTGGCCCAGTCCTCCAATTTCTCTAAGTCACACTGAATCCTAGCCCTACCCTCCAGTGTACCTACTATACCCCCCAGCTTGGTGTCATCCACAAAGGGCGAGAGCAGAGCCAGGGGCCCAGAAGCTGAGGTCCAGGGCAGCGGACCTAGGCTGAAGGGGGCACAGTCGGAGAAAAGGGCCCAAAGCCAGGAAGGTTGAAGACCCAACAAAGGCTCGACGGGGCAAGTGTTGCGGTGGGGCCAGGGGACACCTCCAAAATGATCAAGTACTACCTGCAAGGCATGGGCATGGTTGTACGGATGGACAGAGGCAACAAATAGCCCATAAGGTGACTAGCACCCTGGGGTAATAATAAGGCTAGGGAGGGCCACACCTAAGTGCCCCAGGGGCAAGGTGAAGCTGGACCTTGGGAGAAGGTTCTCTTTCACATTAAAAGTAATTACATCAAGGCATGGCAGGCAAGGAAGAAAGGAGGGCACCCCAAGGAGCCAGACTGGAGGGCAGGAGTTGAGGGGCTGCCCTCGGATGCTGGGACCTGCTTGAGAGACGTCTACACACTCCCCAGGAGGCTGGTTGTGCAGATAGCTCCCTGCTTGCTGCTTCTAAGGCTGAGACTGTGGCAGAGTTGGCCATCAAGTCCTGGCCAACGCTGATGCCAGGCCACCAGAAAGAGGGCTCAACCCCAGCTGGTGCAGCAACTCCTCACACATACATGGCTACAGGGTTGAGTACGTTGCCATAGCCCAGCTCACTGGGACATCAGACAGATGTGATATCAGTCCCCCATTACCACGAGCACATGCACACAAAAATGCTGTCATATTTTGGCTTAGAGGAGTCCCTCACTGGTCCCATCTGATATGCACGACACAGGATGAGCTAGGGAGTCTTCTCCAGCACGCGCCTCCATGCACTGGAGCATGCCTTGCAAAGTATCTCTACCACCCCCAGAACAAACGCAGGACACCGCAACAGCAATTTTCTGTTTTATTCCAATTACTCATTTACAAGAGACTCTCGAGGTGATAAAAGCAGAATCTGGTTTCCAAAACACTTATTAACAGGTATTCATAGCAAACTCCATGTACAGATCTTGCCTTCCCAATGTGCATGGGATGGGAGCAGCACGACTGTCCAGGCGTCTCAAATCACAGCAGAAATTAATGGCAGTAGACCAAGCAAATCACTCTTCGGGTCCTGACCCCCCTCATCTAATATGCAAGGTGACAAGCACACGCCTGCAGCTGCTCTTGTGAGATTTCCACCATCTCAAGATGTACCCCTGGCTGCATTTTGGCTATCACATGAACTAGAAGGCAAGTCTCTTCTGCTTCGGGATCCAACCCAAACCCAGAGTGCTAGAATTTGTAGCTTAACCCTGGAAAATTCCCACAGGGCTTTAGATTAGAAAAGCAGTATCATTAACAGCACATTATCAACACATGAAGGGCTAGTTCAGAAGTCACCTCTCCCCTTGAGCAAACTTTTCCCCTGGAAACCCTCTTCCTCAGGGGCTATTCCCTCTCCTCTTCTGGCCCCCTGGTAATGGCTGCCTGCCACTTTGAGATCAAAGTGTAGCTTCTTCCACAGCTAAGAGACCCATCGGGTCGCAGTGCCTTATGCCAGAAAAAAAGGAGGGAAAAAACAACCCCAAATGCAACACAGATGTGCAAAGGAGAGACCAACAGGCTTAGTAAGAAAAGCTAAACCCTGCTTGACTCCTAATTTCCACCAACAAAGCCCCAATCCAATGGCAAAGATCCAACTTATCGAGAGAGCAATGGCCCTGAGGATAGAAAGGGCCCTGCCACTACCGTGGCACCAGCAAGGAGAGGACAGTCTCAGAGCCGGGAGATCCTTTCCAGCAAAGTCTTGCTGTGAATGTCCTCCAGCCACTCGATGAGGATCTTGTTCAGTGCGGCTGGCCTGGAAGGAGAGCACACAGCGTTGAGCTTGGAGGCTAGGGCTGTTCTTTACAGTCGTCTAGCTGTCGTGTCTCAAGCGACCCGAGCTCCCTTTACAGCCCCAGGGGAGCCCAGAACAGCTAAATGGGCTTCAAGGCCAAGCTGGAATTGGTTGGGGGAGCTCATTCCCTATCCCCTCACCCTCAACAGTCAGATTATTATTCAGCCAGGAGAGCTGTTATGGAAAAGGACAATCCTCTTCCTCCTCCCTTCCTACCTGTGGCAGCTCCCTGCTACCAACGTTCACAGCCTCCAAATACCTTGGGCACAGGTTCTCATTCCCCTTGGCCTCCCACGCGCCCCACTAGACTTCATCTCTCCTTCTCCAAGACCAGCCCTCCAGCCCCTCCACTGCTCCTACTGAGGGAGGCTTCAGCCCCAAGTAGAGGCTTACAGTCTGGGATCAAGTCACCCGTAAACCCTTGCTGACTGTCACTAGCTACATTTTTTTCTTTGCATCTTTATTCATAGAGTCATGTCAGCCATCCCAGTGTCTTCCCTGGCATCGACACTGGGCTAACAGGCTTGCATTATCCTGCTCTGTGTTTAGCACCACTGCCATTACTTTAGCTTTCTTTGAATCCCCTGTGTGGAAGAAATCAGTTTGAAACACATAGCATGAGCATTAGCATCTTTTTCTCTCTCTTCTTAGTCAAGTAAGAGGCCTGGTTAAACTTATTTCCACAACTGTAAATTCCTCATTATCCCAAGAGTCAGTTACAAAGAAAGGAAAAAAAAAAAAGAATCAGTATTAAGGATCCACAACAAACCTCGGCCAGATCTTTTAAAGTTCTTGGAGGCAAGTGACCTAGAGATATCTGATTTCAAATATCTGAAATAGCCCAAATTCTTGGGCTTGCCGACCAAGACAGATCTGATTTCAGTCACTGCTGCTTCACGTGCTCTTTAGGCACCGCATGAAGGGAAAGCATCATCATCATCATCATCATCATATCATTGGACTTCGCTTGCCTTTTCTCTACACGCAGGTCAGCACCAGCTCCCTTCCTGCCTGTCAATACGGACAGCAGAAGGGAACAGCATATTTGGGTTCACTGAGAGCGAGCCCAAGCAGCCCTGATGAAGTGCCACGCCATATAACCTCCTCAAGAGCCAGCTGGGGTTGGGAGATAAAGAGAAGTGCAGCTCATGCACTTACTGTCGGGACAGCCAAAACTCCCTGTAACACTGGTCCTTGTTGCAAAGCCAGGTCCTTTCCAGGATGTAGCTGCAAACAGGGGTTTACTCTTTCCTACAGCTCTATCCATGGAGTCATATTGGCTACAAGCCCTTTATGCATCTCAGGGGATTGCCAAGAGCCAGTATGCCCAGAAAGGAGGCACCTGGGTCAGAGATGCCATGTAGAGTGGGGTGGGGTGGGGGGGGACACCGAGGCCCTGCCCCTCAACAGGTCATTAAGGACCCATCTCTACTTGGGGAGCTCAGTCCTTGCTCAGAGAGCCCCCCCAACTTAAATGGGAGCTCTGCCTGAGCAGGTACCACAGAAGCCAGCCCTGCCGTGCAACGTCACGGTCCAGAAACAAAGGATTGTGGATAAAACCAACTCGTGCTCAGCTCCCCCAAGAGCCACAGTTCGAGCTAACAACCCCTCCCAGCAATGACCGTGGGTACCTCTCCATCTGCGTCCAGTGCCCGCACTCCTCAATGTGCCCCCGGGTCAGCTGGGGAATCTGGAAAGAAATGCACAGGAGCTATGAGATGCCGTTGGGACTTCTCAAAGCTAAGGAGGCCTTTAACCACCATTGGAGCTGCAGACCAGGTCAGGATACTGTCAACCACTGATAGGCACTGTCCTCCTAGACCTCACCCATCCCTGCGCAAGGGGCAGCTCCTTCCTGACCGCTGCATGAAGGGGCCTGAAGCGGGAGAATCAACTGCCCTTATCCACAGCTCCAGCATCCATTTGTGACACTCAGCCCCTGCCACGTTACATGTATTGCACAATGAACTGGTGAATCACGCAATAAATTTAGAAAGGCCCAAAGTGCCACGTAAAGACCAGCTACGCGTGCAAAGTAATGATTACCTTATTAACTGGTGAATCGCACAATAAATGTAGACGGGCCATACGTTCAGAGTACTTATCACGCTAAAAAAAAAAAAATGGCTGTCCAGCTATAAAAAAAAAAAGCTGCCTGGCTACACTATTAGTGCTAGAAAATGCATAATGACTTTATAGCTGGTTTCTATTCAGCTTTCATTTGAGGTCCGTGTGCCGTCCCATTTTAGTAACAGCTGCAGGACTCTTGTGACCTGCTACTGGAAGCCTACGTGGGGCGGCTTCACACCACGAGTGATTCAACATGGTCCTCTCAAGTCGCATGAGGATGGTCAGGATGCATCAGAGCCCAGGAGGGAAACACTGGTTACTTACCCATGCCTCCATGCCTTTGCTCATGTTGGGATGGAGAACCTCGTCCTTACCAGCGGTCACCATCAGAGCGGGGACCATGATCTGCAAGGGACACAGACAGAAGGGGAGGAATTGAAACAGAAGGCACCCATGGGTCTGACTTTCCAACCAGCAATGTTGTGCTCTCCCCCACGCCCTCGCTCCTGCCTGGGGGCAGCTCCTTGTCATCTTGGCTGCCCCCCTCCAAACTCTCTTCCTCTGCAAAACACGCTGGGAACTGGGGGCTGCAGGAGTCACTGCCTGACCATGGTGTCATCGTCTCCTTGAATCCCCCATCGCCTCTGTTATCCCTTGTCTTGCACTGACCATCGCTGGGCTCTGGGGGTGGACGGCACTGAGCGCGGCAGGCTCTAGAGATGCTGCTGGGGTGACCTGAACAATAAGATACCTCTCCAGGAGGCTGGTAGCTGCTGCTCAGAAGCACGGCTCTGCCTCATTTACCATAGGGAGGATCTCCCCTCTGTTTGGGCTGAGGGGGACAACACATACAGGAAATGGGGTTGGTGAGGACAATGTTGAGCAGAACCATCCAGCTTTGCATCACCTAGAAATGATCTGTGAGGATGGGACGGGGGACATGACCCCAGTAAAATTACCCCGGCTTGGAGCAGCATCCTTTCCCCTGTCTGGGGCCCACAAGGACCAGCCAGGACGGGGGCCACGATGCAGTGCGCAGAACTGGCAGCCTCAGCTCCTTGCTGCCAGTCAGGGGGTGATGAACTGCCCAAGACACCCCAGGAAGGGCTCTATAAAACCCTTGCACGAGGGCAGCATGGGTTCTGCTGCAGATGCTCCTGGCTGGGACTGCCAGCCTGGCTAACACAGCACAGGGACAGCCATCACCCTGCTCTGGGATGCAGCAGACACTCTCCCTGGGTACAGTCAGAGGATCCCAGGGCTGGAAGAGACCTCAGGGGTCATCCAGACCCAGGCTAGGCAGCCCTTACCCCAGTACAGACAGACTCCTGCCCACCCCTTCTGGGACTCCCCAGGGATGGAGACTTCTCCAGTACCCAGGGCAGCTTGCTTCGTGTTTCTTAGTCTCAAAGCTTTTTCCAATTTGCTCTCCAGCTTGACTGCACCTAGCTCAGGGTGGTCCCACAAGCTCCTTTGCCCACCCCATCCACGGACAGGCTCAAGGTAGGAGGCCTCTATCCCATGGCTGGCCAGAGGTCATCCCTTCTCAAGGAGATCCAGCCCTAAAGGGCCACCAGATCTCTGGACTAGGCTCATTGCACCCTGCAATCACCCACCAGGTCAGTGCTAGATCAGTGCAATCACCCACCCACCAGGTCGGTGCAATCATGACCAGATCGGTGCTTCTCCAAGTAACGAAGGCGGCCTGGGCTGGTCTCAACACAATCCCTGCTTGTTCTGGACAGCAGACTGCTAGGTGGGTCACGCTCCTTGTCCTGGGGTCAGAGTACAGACAGCAGCTCCTCAGGTGACCCCGGCAGCTCTTACCTTCCTGTCCTTTGCAGAGCAGCTCCAGCACCAGTTGGTTTGCATGTTCCGGTACCAGTTCAACGGTCCTCTGAGAAAGAAGAGAAGGGCCGGGGAAAGGAAAGGATGGACGTCGTTAGGGGGAACCCCGAAATGCTGCTCTACCTTGGAGGGCCACATGCTACCATGAGCCAAGGTCGTGCTTAATTTTACTAGGCACAGCCCTCCCCATCTGCTCCACAGGGATGCATTAAGGAAGCCGGTCAACATAGGGTGCCCATGGAAACCTCAGCTAGACTCTAGTGTAGACAGCTCATCTGCAAGCATGGCGAGATTTCCACAGCACCCTGCAGAGAGCAGTCCATTTGCACCAGAACCAGTCCACAGGATGGTAACTGCATCCGTGGTGGTGCACACCTGGCGCCCAACGTCCTCGTACCTGAAGCCGGACTTCTTGTACCGCTGGATGTAGTACTGCAGGTCAGGTTCTGGGACCATCAGGCTCGGAGCGGGGTCTTTGGGCAGGCCGACCAGGAGGCCTCCTGCAGAGAGGGGCAGAGGGGGGAAGACCATCTTGCAAGCAGTTGGAGAGAGGCCGTGTGGCCAAGGCACCAACAAGCAACTGAGGCCTTGAAGCAGGGTTCGGCTGCAATGGAACAAGTCACCTCTTCTTCCTCCTTACCCCTCTGTATGTCTTTCTCGCTCATCCCTCCTCCCCCAGGGATGTAACGCTGTGCTAAGGCAGCCCACCATCTCCTTGCTGGACATCCTTTCCTCTAGCAGCCAATCCTTGCTAATACACCAGTGCAGCTCTCTCCAGCAACACCTCGCTTTGCTATGGTAGGGAGGCTGACACGTGCTAGGGCACGGATGGATCACCGAGTGTGGCCTCTGCATTGCACCTTTCAGGCCCAGAGACAGTGCAGGCTCCAAAGACCCAGTGGCGAGCTCCAATGGATCCATATCCCCCACCATAAAGGACCCACCACCCCATGTCATAGATTTCATAGACATTAGGGCTGGAAGGGACCTCGGAAGATCATCGAG